CCCAATGTTAGAAGGAACTTTATATCGGTGTCTGTATTAGATAAAAGAGGTTATGATGTAAGGTTCAAGTCAGGATTTGTTTGTATCCAAAAGGATGATGATGTCATTGTAAAGGGTTCAAGGGTTGAAGATATGCATCTTATCCACAGTAATAAAATTTCTTATTCTAAGTACATGAATGTTTCAACTAGTGAAAATAATTCCTATCTATGACATTTAAGATTAGGTCACATCAATAAGGACAAGATGCTAAGAATGAGTAGATTGGGCCTCATACCTCAAATGAATACAATAGACTTTGATATTTGTGAGTCATGCGTTAAAGGCAAAATGACTAGAAAATCTTTTAAAAAACATTGGAAGTCTTTGGATTTATTGGAGGTTGTCCATTTGGACATATGTGGACCTTTAAGATCAAAAACTCATAAAGGAATGAAATATTTTGTAACTTTTACAGATGATTATTCAAGGTTTGGTCATATCTACTTAATCAAACATAAGTCTGATGCACTTGATAGATTCAAAGAATATAAAAATGAGGTAGAAACACAGTTGGGTATACCAATTAAAGCCTTGAATAATGATAGGGGTGGTGAATATGAAACTTTTGACAAATTCTGTAAAGAGAATGACATACGACATTTATATACCATGTCATACACACCTGAACAAAATGACATTGCTGAAAGACGTAATAGAACTCTATTGGATATGACAAGGTCAATGATGGCTTATGTTGATCTTTCCGTCCATTTTTGGGGAGAAGCCTTGTCTACTGCAACTTATATTTTAAATAGAGTCAAGACAAAGGCTAAACCTCAAACTCCTTATGAATATTGGACTGGAACAAAACCTGACATATCTAATTTTAAAGTTTGGGGGTGTAAGACACATGTACTTATTCTGAAGCCTCTCAAAAATAAGCTAGGAACAAAGATGTGAGAATGCAAGTTCATAGGATATGTTGAGAATGGAAGTGGATATAGATTTTTACATTCGGATAAAGGATTGATTGAAAGTAGGGATGCCATTTTTATTGAGTCTACCAATGAAATAACTTTCATTGATCAAGTCAAATTGTTAGATGATGATGTTATGAGTCCTATTGATTATATTATTGATCAAGAAATGATAAATGACCAAGGTGATTAGGAAATGGTAGATGACCAAGGAGGACAAGGTTCACAAGTTGAGAAAAGTGGGAGTAAAAGAAAGAGGGTACCATCTCAAAAATTAAAGGATCATTTCGTTTTTAATCTAGATGAAAACATAATATTAGAAGATGATCCTAAGGAGTTTATGGAGGCAGTCAATAGTAGTGATGCAGATCAACGGCTTCAAGCTATGAAAGAAGAGTTTGATTCAATTAACAAAAATGATGTATGAGATTTAGTAGATCTTCCCAAAGAGAGGAAAGTCATTGGTTGCAAATGGGTCCTTAAAAAGAAATTGAAAGTAGATGGGTCTCTAGATAAGTATAAAGCAAGGTTGGTTGCTAAAGGATTTACTCAACAACCTGAAATAGACTTTGTGGATACATATTCTCCTGTTGCTAAGTTTACTTCAATCAGAATACTCATGTCAGTTGTAGCTAAGATGGATCTTGAATTACATTAGTTAGATATGAAAACGGCCTTTCATAATGGAGAATTAAAAGAAGACATCTATATGGTTCAACCTAATGGGTTTCAGGTTAAAGGACATGAACAAAAAGTCTGTAAATTGAAAAGGTCTTTGTATGGACTCAAAAAATCCTCTAGACAGTGGTATTTAAAATTCCACCAGGCAATCTTTTAAATAGGATTTGAAGTTAGTGCTTTAGACCATTGTGTATATATTTGGACACACCATGATAAACTCACAATTTTGTCACTCTATGTAGATTATATTTTATTGGCAGGAAATTGTCCAAATATGATCAAAGAAATCAAAGCGTACTTGGGATCTAAATTCAAAATGAAGGACATGGGTGAGGCTAATTATGTCTTGGGAATTAGAATCTCTAGAAATAGAAATTCTAGACTCTTATATTTAGATCAAGAAAAGTATTTGGAAATGGTGCCAAGAGATTCGGTATGAATAATAGTAAGTCGTTGAGCACTCCTGTCTGCAAGGGTCAAAGTCTAAGTAAAGGGATGTGCCCTAGTTCATATAAGAAAATATTTGAAATGAGTAAGATACCCTACACACAAGTTGTGGGTAGTCTCATGTATACTATGTCAAGTACAAGGCCTGACATTTGTCATGCGATAGGATTAGTAAGTAGATATCAATCCAATCCAGGAACGGTACACTAGCAAGCAGTGAAGAGAATTTTTAGATATTTGAGAGGCACGACAGGTATGAAATTGTGTTTTGGATTAAATAATGTAGAAATTATTGGCTATACGGATGCAGACTTTGCAGGTGATGTAGATGACATAAAATCTACAAGTGGTCATATATTCTTATTTGGTGGAACGATTGTTTCTTGGCTAAGTATGAAGCAGGGTTGTGTTGCAAAGTACACAATGGAAGCCGACTACATAGCGTGCAGTATAGCGGTAAGTAACGCTGTTTGGATTAAACGCTTTGTTGATAGTTTAAAGTTGGGTATACCTAGTAGGCCAGTCAATGTGTTTTGTAACAATAAGTTCGCTATCTCTTTAATAAAAAGTGGAGCTAATAGCTCTAAAGGAAGACACATTGATGTAAATTATCACTATATTCAAGATATAGTGAAGAGGGGTGAAATAAAAATCGACTATATACCCTCGGCAGATATGGTGGCTAACCCTATGACCAAGGGCTTGACCCTGGAAAAATTTAGAGAGCATGTAACTGCAATGGGTTTAAGAAGCACTTAGGTATTACAGTACTACGTAGTGAAGGACATCTTTAGATAAATTTTGGGAACGCCTAAAATTTATAGAAAGATGCGACTCTACCTGATTGGGGATATGAGTTGGTCAGATAAAAGGTAGAGGACACTAGCAGGCATTCCAGGGCTATCACATGCTCATGAATGTAAAGTCCACTTTGAGACACCATGAGATCTCTGCATAGCCACCTAAGGTGCATGGTGTATTAAGTCGTCGATAAGGTATACTGAGGAAAGCCTTTGCATGGGCTTTAGAGGAAGTACTTGATCAAAATTTTGGGTGCAGGTCGACAAATTGATTAAATTTATGTTTGGCTGAAGTCGTCAATGGTACTGAGGGTGTGGACTTTATGATCCCTAGTATGGAGCATTGATGCCAATCACTTAGTTATAAAGTGAATTGAAGTCACATGGAGTATGCTATAAGCAAGGATAACATATGTGGAAAAGTGTAGTCAGACTCGAAGGCAAAAGCGTGCACACGTAAGTCTATTGCCATGTTCTGATGTCAATCTGTAAATGGTTACGGATAAAAAGTTGGTGAAAATAAAAATTTTGGTACCAAAGGTAAACACCAACTTGGAAAACTCTTGAATCATGTCCATGTACGTTCCAGTGGGAGTTGTAAGTCAGGGAACTCATGGAAAAGGCCTTATGCCATGTAAGGCAAAGGGCTTACTAATAAGCCCAACAACTTTCCCCTCCCTAACCGATGTGGGGCACCAAGATCTCACAATTCACCCCTTTTAGGATTGCACGTCCCCGTGCAGCAGCTCGCCAGCTATCTGCTCGCCCACATGCACGCGAGCACGGTAGGGGCCCACACTCAATCCAGGCGAGAGTCGGCTCTGATACCACTTGTAACATCCCATCCTCCACATGACATAATATTGTCCGCTTCCCAATATCCCTGGGAAAATGTCTTATGCCAACAACTTTTCCCTCCCTAACCAATGTGGGACACCAGGATCTCACAATAGCTTGTAACACCCCACCCTCCACATGACATAATATTGTCCGCTTTGGGCCCACTGTCCCTCACGGCTTTGTTCCTCCCAATATCCCTATGAAAATGCCTTATGCCATGTAAGGCGAGGGGCTTACTAATAAGCTCAACAACTTTCCCCTCCTTAACCGATGTGGGACACCAAAATCTCACAAACGTCTAGGACCAACAAATTTCCAACACCTTCACCCTATGGCCATAGGCCCCCCCTTTTCTTTTCCCCCTTCCCTCCCCCTTACCGTTATTCCCATCACTTGATTTGCAATATTCCTTATATAATCTTACACTATGGACGGGATTAGGTCTCCTCTTTATTTCAACTCCTTTTGCCCCTAATGGTAGTGGGTGAAGAGTGTAGAACTGTGGTTGTGCCCACCTGTTTGGTGGGGGCGACTCTCCAACTCTACAAACTCGAGGAAGGGTTACAGAACAATAGTAAAAACGTTAAGAAGAGATTTTTGTAGTCCTATCAAAAATTAAGGGAATAAATCTCATCTCCTAATAAGCAAAGCCCTTATGAGCAAAAAAATTTGGGTCTTGTTTGGTTTGTATATAAAAAACTGTTTTTTATTTTCGAATATATTTTGAGAAAAAAAAACTGTTTGGCTAGTTGTTTTTTGTTTTTGTTTTTTGAAATATGAGAACAAAAATAGGATAAATTTAGAGAACAAGTTAGAACTGTTTTATGTATTTTGGAAACAATTTTTTTAGAATTTAGAAAACACTACTACCATACTTTTACCATTAATACACTCCCACTATTATCACATTTCTATTTTTGCTATTTTTTAAGTTATTGTCCAAAATTTTTTTATTGTTTTTAATTTTATATATTTATTTTTGAAATCATATAACCAAACAAATTTTACGGTACAAAAAATAATTTTCTAAAATTTTTTAAAATTTTTTTTTTTAAAACGTAAATCAAACAAAATCTTGTTGTTCCATTTTCAAATCTTTAGATCGATAAGACCACGGTAGAGTCCCTTGGGCTATTCAGTTTTTTTGGTATGGGCCAAGCCCATGGTGCAGATTCTTAAAGAGTAAACTGTATGTATCATTGTAGAAAGATCCAAACCCCAACAGATTTACAGAGTTACTAGTCAGCACAAAACCCCCCAAACCCTCTCTCTCTCTCTCTCTCTCTCTCTCTCTTCGGGCGAATATATTACTACAATAGGAAAGCATTACCATTAGGTATTCCGATCCATCCTTTTTTGGTTTGAATATCTGTGTAATTTTATGTATGCATGGTGTGTGTGGGAGCTTCGAGTCAGATATTGCTATGTGGTGTGGTATAGGGGTGAACGTGAAGTGCTGCTGATCTTATTTATCATGTTTCTTTCTGTAATGGAGGTCGTCGTTCATATTTCGCTTGTGTTGATGCATTTCATTTGGTTTAAATTTCTCTATGGTTTGTGAACTGTATATGCTATGTTTTTTATATGTCGAGCGTTACTTAAGGAACCTTGATCATTGTATTTGCCATCGTCAGGCGAGGAAACTTTTAGTTTTTGTGTGGGTATAACATTAAACATCGTGATATTGTTGCATTTTCATTGAAATTTGAAGAGGCTTTGTAATTTTCAAGCTGCATTGAGAGTGGAAACAAAAAAATACGTACTTCAAGATATGAACTATTTTTTTTCCAATTCTGATGAAAAAACGCCGATGTTTTGAAATCTATATAATACTGCTCAATCAAAACTTATATTGAAGGGAACCCCCTGATTTTCTTATTTGTTGGAATTATTCTTGTATTCTGAATGTTTAAATGTACAATTGATGATTAGGTGTTTAGGTATGTTGTTATATTGTGCTTTACATATTTTTTTTCCTCATGCCTTTTTGTGGCGCTGGGATTTGAGAATTTGTTAAATTAGTGCGCCAATATATCTCCATGTGTGAATCTGTTCGAGTAAATATACGTTTATGCTATTTATAGGGGTGAATAATGAGGGATAGAAAGTTTTGCTAGTGCTGCATATACAGTTGAAAGCATAGCTTGAAGGCACTTTATTTAGATGGTTGTTTTTGTGAGGTAATCTGTAGGTTTTGGAATTTATGGCATCAAAGCTGAATCTCTTGCGAGCAAAGGCTGCTGAAGCCTCGAAGTTTGTAGCCAAGCATGGATCTGCCTATTACAAGCAGTCATTGGAGCAGAACAAGCAATACATCCAGGAACCGCCTACTGTGGAGAAATGCCAGCTTTTGGGGAACCAGCTGTTTTACACTCGTCTTGCCAGGTATCCCTCTTAATGCTACTTTTTTCCGACGTCACTAGTGGAGTGACAAGAGTGTTGATTATCTACAAAGTGATATATTAATTTTTTTTTTCTAGGAGTGATATATTGACTTGACTGCTCTAGTTAATTGGTGAGGTCATTTCATTAACCCACGCTGGTTAATTGTACTTGTACGTTTGACACCTTCACGGGGTAGCTATGGTTCCGCCAACAATACCTTGACAAGAAATCACCAACAGAGAGATAAAGTAAGAAACATCAAGGGCAAGAGCAAAGTAGGGTAGAAATTTTACTAGTTTAGGCTTATGGGCTTAGAAGCCTTGTACCTAGCTGGCTAGCTCTACAAGTAGGGGAGGTATAAAATCCGTTTAAGCTATTGCATTTTGTTGTCTAATTAATAATGTACTTATACAGGTATAGAGTTTCAAATCTTTGTAGGTCTTCATTTGTATAATTTCTGTTTGGGTATGTTAAGAGGTGGTAAATGGGTGGGTTGGTTATGGGCTAGGTTAAATTGAGTTGGGTCAAAGTAAATCCAATTCATTTTTCACTTACGTATTAAATGGGTTATGATATGTTGAATTTATAAGGGGTTGGGTTAAACCCATTAACCCATAAAATAATTAAGACTCTTAATATGAATTCATACTAATATACCAAAAAAACGTACACACTAATATACCAAAAGATCCCCATTCGCTATAAATACACACACTAATACACCAAAACATACTAAATACAAAAAAAATACACACATTATGGGTCGGGTCAACCCATGGGTCATGGGTTGAGGTTAAGTCAACACGCGTGTTGGTCCATGGGTGGACCCGCGAATCATGGGTCGATCCACTCTCGACCCACGAGTCGTGGGTTGCTTTTTTTTTTGTGTGTGTGTGTGTACTAATGTGTATTTTTCGGTGTATTAGTGTGTGCATATTTTTTAATATATTAATATATTTATTTGATTTATTACTTGTGTTTTGTAATAGAAAGATAAATACTCAGCGCAATGAGTATTTATTTGTAATTCATATTAATCTGCTTAATTAAAATAAATTATATTATTCAACTTATTTATTTATGGGCAGGTTGGGCGGATTAATATTTAATAGGTTAAGATTGACACCTCTAGGTATGTTGCATTAGGTAATAGGTTGAACTTTGGCTAGACTCTACATGCTACACATAGGGACTTGGGCCCAAACTATCTTGCTCCGTTGTCCTCCCTTAAATATAAGTGATTAAAACTGTGAAGATGTGATCAAGTTTAATTGTCAATCTGGCATTTGACATTTGCATTGTTTAGGATGTCAATTGTGGCTTTTTGATTGCCTTTTTGAGCTGAGCTAACTTTCTGGTTTCTCCCATTTACCCATACAACCAAAGTATGGCTGAAGAAGTGAAGTATATATTGGGTTCACGAGATGCTTTGGTGTGGATAAGTTTGGTTAGTTGATTTAGTACCCATAGGGGTTGTTTGTTTGTTGTATAATAGGGCGTATTAAAGAGTCATATTGAATTAAAACACTTTAAAATGGGTTTATACTGCATTTGAATACAAAAATGCACTTTGTATTATGTACGAGATTAACTAGATAAGTATCACATACGAATAATTCTAATATAATTTATCTGTACTATTGAGCTATTTTAATACCACCAGGAACGGTAGTATTACAATATAGCCTAGGTGTATTATATCGTTATTTTACAATTTTATTCTCAATCTAAGAAAAATTCATGTGATCATTCCTTCTTGTTTATTATAATAAAAATTACATAAACAACAATATTAATAATAAACAAATGCATATATCCAAAATATACTTTTACACAATTAAAGCATGTTTGTTTAATTATAATATTATTTAAAAATATTCATAATAAGTAATATTTTTGTATTTTTTTATTCTATTGATATATAGTACTACGAAATATTAGATCACTATAAGGGATTAAATTGGAGATGATTGAGGGCATTTTAGTCCACTCATTTACTACCATTGAATAAATTATCTAACCAAATATTATATTGGATTTGATATTTATTATCCAACTCTTAATACTGTACTTAACAAACGCTTGACTAAAACTGTTATTATCTTTATCCCCTATTTAATGTTTAGATTTTATACATCTATCCTGGATTGTCTTGTATTCTCTAGTACAATTTCTTTTTTTTTTTTAATTCGGCATCCATAGTGTTGTGTGAAAGATCTTGATAATTCCTAATTTCTTTTATAATTTATCTACCTCAGTCCAACTGAATGGAAGTCCTTAATTTCTTTTGTTGGATATATGGGTTGTGAGGAAGAGTGCATCGTGTCACATGAAACATTTTTTGTAAAATTCGGTACCTAATGCTGCTGCTGTTGGTCAATTTTGGTGTCGATCGAGATGCCTTCTGCTTGGAGTTGAAAGCATTTCAAAGCAGAACTTCAATGTAGGATATTATTGGTTATAAAAGAGGGACTCCTTTGTCATGGGGAATGAATTTGCTTTTGGGATGGTTGCCTTATGAATATAAGCACACAATACTATTCTGATTCGATAATTTAACAAGTACAAGGGTCCACTGGGGAGAGTTGGAGGCTTGACATGTCAATATTTAGTAATGATTGCTGCTTAGTTAAACAATGTTAACTGGTGGCTCTTTAGTGCGTATCCGAGATAGGAAAGGGAACATGGAACGTCACTTTTCCTGAAATGTTGGGATGATGGGGCATTGATTTCATCAAATTTTTTTGACCCCTTTCTCATATCACTGTTTGGTTTGTGGTCAAGAATAAAAATAGTTGATACATTATTTTCGAGAAATGGGACTTGCATTACAGTATATGAGTTGCTCTTATTCTTTTGCATGCTAAACTTCATTCATCAATTCTCATTAACCAGTTATGCTGATATGTGATATATTGTCCTATGTTGAGGCTAAATTCTCTCTTTCATTATATTAAGCCTTAAACAGGGTAATTATATTGAAGATAAGCCCACTTTGCCCTGCGTTCTCTCATAAAACCTGAATTTGTTCAACCTCCAACAAATTGGAAATGTTGTGTGGTTTCCTACAATCTTGGTTTTACCTGGAATGGTCTTGGCACCCTTAAGAACCAGGCAAATATCTGCTCACTACTTGAGACTGATGAGGAGCGTACCACTTTATGTGATGCAAGTAGCATATGCATTTTTATACATAACTTGATCTTTTACTTATTAATTCATCTGATTGCTTACTTGGAACAGTATTCCTGGTCGTTATGAAGCGTTCTGGAAGGAACTTGATTATGTCAAGCACTTGTGGAGAAACAGGCAGGAGCTGAAGACTGAAGATGTTGGCATTGCTGCCCTTTTCGGACTTGAATGTTATGCCTGGTTTTGTCTTGGAGAGATCATAGCTCGCGGATTTAAGATTACTGGCTACGATGTCTAGTGTTGCACCACGATTTTGTGTATTTAGTGGTAGAATTCTAAGGCAGACATCTCCTTTCTTAGTTGTTGAGTTGAATGATTGCACGGTATTTACTGAACTTATTTCTGTGAATAACTCGTTTGAGTAATGTCTTTGGAGCAAGTTTTTTTACTTCAAATCTTGCTATTTGTTTTCCTTCCCCCGTTTTCATTCCTTCTTCCACCAAACTCGTTATATATGCACTGTATAGTTAGTTTTACTAATCTGACAATTATTATTTTAGATAGAGAGGGAGAGAGAGGGAGAGAGAGGGAGAGAGAGAGAGTAGCCTTTTTCTGCCATTTCCTTTTTCTTCTAATCTTTTGCATCCATGAAATTGATTTCTAAACGCAACCACCTTCGGTCATGTAGTCATGTAAATTTTGGTTGTCAGAAAATGTTTATCCTCATGAGCTCTGGTGATTCTTCCTTACGGAGAAAAGTAGCAGTTTCTGACTCTCAAAACAACACCCTCCATCAACGTCACCCTGTTCCTACAACTCCTCAAATTCTTGGCATGTGGCAATAATCAAACAGATTTCCATATAGACCTGTGGTGGGGAGATGAAAACATTGGAAGGGGCTCCCAAGCAATAAAGACTACTCAAATCATACCCACAGTCGACAGCGAAGAGGGCAGACAAATGCGTGTGTGTGCGCGTGTATATACATATATCAAGGCACATATATTGCCAAAAAGTGTGCTCAAGTATATATATTCATGAGGGAGAACCCAGTTTTTCATTCTGACGCTTAAGAAGTACATCATGTGTCAAGAAACAGTTCACTATTCCAAACTATTCCCCAGTTACACAATAAACACCTCAACAACATCCTACCCCTCAGCCATCTCATTCCAGGATTTCAACTCCTATTCCCCGCAGCTATAGTAAGTATCTCAAGTGTAATTTCAATCTTCTCTCTTCTTCAAAATATATGATTTCTGAATGACAATATCATTTTGGGTGACAAGAGCAAAACAAATGCTAAGATCGAACCAAACAACATTTTAATGGCATATCCGAATGGATCATGTTCGGCTTCTTCAGATGTAGTCCTTGATGATGACATTGCCACTGCTGAAGGCAGGGCTTCAATCACTGCATTTGCCAGATCGGTGATGAATGAAGAGGTGCAATTTAGAGCAGGAACTCGGCCCCAGTTTTCAATGCCAGATTCCAGAGCCAAGTGCTTGTACTCCATATCAATCTCTTCAAGGGTCTCTATATGCTCACTCACAAAGCTGGAATTTCAAAGTACAAGAACAATCAATCACGGAAATATTAACTAACAACAAAAAAGAGAAACCGACAATATATAAAGAAAAAAAAATCACCCAGTTTAAGAGGATATTGAATAGAGGCCATATAACGTGGAATTTTATTGTATTATGGGAGACTGAAAGTACTAGCACTTATTTTGCATGACTATTAATAACTTATTGCATACCTCACAGGAACAGCCAGGAGATTCTTCACACCTTTTTGGCCAAGCTCAACAAGAACTTCATCAGTGTAGGGCTTCAACCATTGTACAGGCCCCACTCGACTCTGACAGAAAGGGGGAAACATCAAATTGTAATCATTGGCCAATAAAATAGCCCTAGGTTATTTTTCTATTTTCAAGATTTTTCTTCTCCTTTCATGAGGAAGGGGGCAGAGTAATTGGGAGGGAGCTTCCAGTTAAGTGGAGCTTCCTAGATGGCACTCCATGCTAATGCCAATGACTATGGAAAGCTTGACAATTAATACTTAAAAACTGAATACTTAGATAAAAATTCAATACTTAGATATTATAACCAACCTGATAAGCTAGAGTATGATCATTTTTTATTCCTCTTGATTTCAATTCTTCCATTATCAAGTGAATGCACTCCTGCATCTGATCTCTGTATGGATCACCCGCATCCTCAACGTAACTGACTGGTACCCCATGGGCACTGAAGAATATCAAGGCCTATAACACAAGAAGGAAAACTAAGCAACACACTTAAGAACGGCAAACAAAATGCAAACTAAATAGACAGTCCATAAGCCATAATTCTGAAGATCTTCTATGTGTCAAAACTCTGTGAATTAATAAAAGAAAATAAACCCACCTCCTCAGGTTTAGAGAAAATCTTTAACTCCTTCTCAATCAAGTCAGCCATAGAATTGATATAACCTTCTCGTTGATACCAGGACTGTATAATGGAAACAGGTAGTCTTGCCAAATATGCATCTTCCCTAAAAGACAGCTCAAATTCAGATATGTTTATCAGAATGTAAAAACGAACAAGTACCACTTACTCTGCAACATGTTGATGATCCGAAGTTCACAAACTGAAAAAAAAAATCACCTGAAGATGCTCTGCAAAACACGGATGCTTGACCCAGTCGTAGAGATGGAATATTGCGGATAGAGAGGCAGCACTACAAGTTTTGTAACCCTGTCCCTTTTAATCTGTAACAGAAAATGGAGAAATTTCAACCGTTTTGAACCAAACAGTACAAATATGATGAAAATATGTATAGCACCAAACAATTGCTTGAGTGAAATTAGAAAGGTGAAGCCGTCAAGTCACCAAACTACCAATCAGAAAGGATTTGGATTATTCTCTTAGAAGGCAACTAATACTGTCAGTCTCAGATCTATGCAAAAATAAACAAATGTTTAAGTTTAAAAATGGAAAGAGGTGCATTTTAACAGGTATTCGGCATGTGAAGCATTTTGACCAGAAAACACCCATAGAAAATGACTATGGTTCTGTTGGAAACACAGGTAGCAAAAACAAACAGCTCTTTGTTTCAACAAAATGGGTCGACAGACAAGTTTAGAGCTTTCTGCACATTCTAGATATCTGGAACCTTCCTAGAAGATTTTCAAATAATCATCCTTGGGCAAAATCGATATTCAGCCTTTTCATTTTTTCAGCAATCCTGCCATCAAGTTGGTTGCGATTGAAATTCTAATTCATGGACCTGACCTTGTAGTCATTTGTAAATAGAGGCGTCCAAAGGGAGGCACAAGTGAATCATAATGCAACTCAAGAGAACAGAAACAACAACCATCACCAAAATACTGGGAGACTAGTATTTATCACATTGCAGGTGAAAGTGAATTGCCAAAAAAATGATAACAGGAATGATACTTAGTTAGTATCTCAAACTTGCCTGCTTAACAGCTTCCTCAGTAAAGGGGTGCCAGTACCGCATGGCAACATAGACATTTGCAGGGACTTCCTTGGCTTCCAATGCCATTTTAAGTGCATTAGCCTGCAACACAAAGCTCAAAAATTGTTAACATGGTAGCTAACAATATGACATGCAAACCACACCAGATAAATAGACAAACCACTGAATAAAAGAACAGAAAGCCAAAATAAAAGAGAAAGCTAAGAACAACACCAACCAATCCTATGAGGAAAAACACCATCCTAACATGAACAGAAACAAGTATTTCTTAGGTGGGCAGTGTTTACCTGTTCATCCGTTATTTTTCGCAAAGGCGAACCACCTCCAATGGCAGCATACCCTTCCTTACTTTTGGGAGCCCGGAGTACAGAAATGAGTTGCGCCAATGGTTGTTGGAGGAATCTGAACAACCTAGGGAGACGTATGATATCCTGTCTCATAAAATATTAAATTCTTAGATACAACCATGAAACAAGAATCCTAATTATGATCATAATTTGATAAAGGGCATAAAGTGCCAAACTAATATACCGGATCTGCAAACAAGTTGAACAAAAATGGCTGAACATCATGAAGTGTTTCTGGTCCTCCAAGATTCAAAAGCAGCACTCCTATCTTTTCCTCTGAAGTGTGTGAATGAGATTCAACAGCACTCCCGGGGTATGTGCACACTTCTGCAGAGCAAAATGTTTTCCCAACTGGGTTTCTCTTCTGAACCGGAAAATCATGTGCTAATCCTCCAAGAACCCTACTTTCTTTATCGGTCGAGTAAAAACACGAAATAGATCCTTCACATGTAGCTATATCAAGAAATTGTTTTCCCCCTGATGAACCACAGCAGGTAGGCATGGCCTGCCGTGTCTGAGGGCAGAAACTGCCAGTGAAAATACTCAGTTAGAAGATTAATTTAAAAACAATGCTAACTACCTATGTTATGTACATACTAGTAGCATTATCTTGATAAAATTTTCATATTCTCTGGTGTGGCATGGGAAATTATCACAGTACATACCATAAAACATGATGAATGTTGCAAAAGAAGAACCACTCTCTGCCTTTTTTTTTCTTCTCCAGTCATAGGACAGGGGCTTAGGGTGGGAAAAGCAACAAATAAGAGCATTCCTTGATTTTTTTTTTTTAAAAAATCAACTCACCAAAGTGTGCCAATGGGGCACAACATGAACAGTCATTGAATTAAAACAAGTAATGCACAAAAGTCATTACAGAATGACACTTTTTCTAGTAAAGTGGAAGAACACAGAATGTGGTAAAAATCTCCTCTTTTTTCTCGTAGATTTGCTGTTCTTAACATGTGTGTACCCCGAGATTTTCTCTCTATTTGCCTACTCAACCTTTCAACTCTATAAAATATGTATAAGTGCAATTACCTAGAAACGTTTATTAATTATAAAGCCATAAACCTACAGGGTGGCCCAGTATGTGGGGCTCCCACCACTGCAAAGCTTGGAGGGTAATATGCAAGTAGCCTTCGCCCCGCATGCAGTAAGCTATTTCCGTAACTCGAACCCCTAATGCCCAAGTGACAATGGAGCAACTTTACCGTACCAACCCTCTATAAAACCATAAACCTAATATCATACAAGTAAAGCACAAAACAGCTAGTACAAGCTAGCTCGTTTCAAATTTAAAAGAAGTGAATTTACTTACTCTTTTCAAGCATACCATTATGGTAAGTTGTGGAACTAGCTAAATGAAAACATAGTGATGAATAACCATTATATCAACATCTTCCTATTTTTTTGTCAAACATTTTATCAAACATCAAATACCAAGAAATTTTAGCATTTATACTTTTTACATATCAGAGAGAAAAAGGAGAGAGAAAAAAAAAAGGACTTCGGAACTTCATTTTACAGAAGAGAAACTAACTTATCGAGACAAAACTCAACACATGAAATGAATTTTTTTTTTTTTAAGCAATTGCAATCCCGTCAATTCTAATCACCTTGATCAACCTACAAGCATATGATTTTTCACATAATTTTACAAATTATAATACCAATTTTGTACTAACGAAATATAAATGTTTTAGCATATACCAGAGTCCACATATAGATGAATGGAACTGCTTGATGAGTAAGCTTACCTTGAAGAATTACGATTCAAACAGCGGAGATCAGATCCGTCAAGCTTCATTTGTGGAAGAAACCGAGAGCTCGTTGCGGCATCCATGGCCTCGAATTTCCGAAGTTCTGGTATCTGTATCACTGTATGACTATATACGTAGATAGAAAGCCTTCAATCTATATCTGTCTCACAGACCAAAAGAAGTACGATCTTAGTTTTTTAGGGTTCTACAGAATTTTCCTGAAAAGAGAGACAGTATATAATTACAGAATTGGTCAGAGAGAATATATACGTGTTCATCAATGGAGGCGTGTACAGTAGCGTTGATCTTTCCACGAAGTTGTTGGAGTTGTTATTTTTTTTTTAGGGTAAATTTCATTTTGAACCCTAAAAATATTTTAATTTTCAATTTTTACCCTGAACGAATTAAATTCTCAAATTATATCCTCATTGTTATAAAATAGATGCAAGATAGTCCAATTTGAGGGTGAAATTTAAGATTAGGGTGTAATTTGAGGTTGAAATCGAGCCACATTGCACTTGTTTTATAAGATTGAGGGTATAATTTGAAAATCTACTTATTTAAGAGTGTAAATTGAGAATTAATATATCTTTTAGGGTATAAAATAAGATTAGTCTTTTTTTTTAATTCTGATTGATGGCTGGTTTTGACCAAATCTCATATATACATTTGTTTCAACAGTTGACTTTGACTTCTATGTGAAGAACACTCACTAGAAATCCACGATAAAAAAATATTATGAATTTCTTAAGGGATGCTAGGCTGCTTCGTTGCACTTCACTCAGTGGCACGTTGAGTGCTCGCTTCGTTTTCAATTATTTAATTCAATCAGTTGTTGAATTAAAAAATTATTTTATCGTATTAATGTTAAATTAACAAAAATATTTTTAATTAATATATTGATGATAGTTTGATTTTATCAGTTATGTAATTATAATAATAAATGTGTATAATAATATATTTGAATTGGATTATAACACCATATCTCCTAGTGGTATTAAAATATTTTCATAATACATGTTTATGGTATTAAAAATATAAAAATAAATATACAATTAATGTACGTTTTTTAAAATTAATACGAAATTAAATTTATCTACTAAATAAAATATTAAACACGATTAAATAAATAATAGTACAATACAATATTTAATTTACATATGACTCGTTTGGTAGATGTATTATGAAGGGGATTAAATATTTGATTGTAATATTTTTTATTTAATCGGATCTAATACTTTGTTTGATAAGTAAATTTGATACCGTATTAATTTCAAAAGCGTATACTAATCGTATATTTTTTATACATTAGACAAGCATTATGGAGGAATTTTAATACCACTAAAAGAGATGGTATTATAATTCAACTCAAACGTATTATTTTACACATTTATCATTATAAGTTTATAAACCCCTAATTGATAAAATCAAACTGTCATCAATGTAACAAATACTAATTAAAGATATTTTTGTTGATTCAACATTAATACGATAAAATAATTCCTCAACCAAACAATCGATTGTATTAAATAATTACTATCCAACGTATATATTGTGTATTATTAAACACTAGATAAAATTATATATTATTTTAATACTCTATATAATTTTGCCTTTTTTCCTTTTGTATTGTATTAGACCGAATTATTTTATTTAATTCATACATTTTTAATACGGCAACCAAACTAACCCTTATAATACGTCTACCGAACAAGCAAGCTTTAGATCGGATTCTACAATATATACAATATTTCATTTCAGCCCTCACTAACTCTAATTCCGAATAGTAATATATTACTACAAAAAGAAGTGATAACTATTTTTGTAATTCGATGAAATTTTTAGTTTATGCTCTTAGTGAATGTATTAAGAAAGATGTATAATAAATGTAGTTATTAAAAAAAAGAAAAATTTGGAGGCCGGTCTCCTTTGTAGACTTATTTGGTAATAAGTTCATCAAGAAAACTTGTTTAATATTAAGTTTATTTTGATTTTTATTATCCAAAATACCCCTAGTAATTGTGTTTAATTAAAACAAATTTGAAAACTAACAACTCCTAAATATTAAGAGTTTTATTAACATTAAAATTCTCTATCTCCCTCATATCTATCTATCTATATAATAAAGTAGGGTGAAATTTGAATTTTAGAGATAAAAAGAGGTTTAGATCGTTTTGAAACAAAACATAAACACATCCAATAGACAATGAAATCTCAATATAAAAAATGATTCAGATCATTTCATAAATATTGATCTAATGGTCTTTCATAAATATTGATGTAATGGTCTACGGTGAGGACTAAATTTTAATTTCCCGCCGCAACATTTCTCTCACGCCTCTCTCTCTTCTGCCTATCTCTCCCAATCTTTCACGCCTATATCCTTGCCTTCCAAACTCATTCCCAAAATTTCTCTCCTGAAATTCATCTCAATATCCCCTATCTGTCAAATATCTCTCTCACACCCAGCTCTCTCTTACGCCTCTCTCTATCGTTCCCCTCTTCTACAAAGTAACGCCACAGCCAGCACTTGCCCACCTTGCTGATCTGGGTTTCTTTAATATACGAGCAATCCAAGTAAGTTGTACTGTGAAAACGATTCATAATATGATCTGTTTGAACAGATGGTGCATTAGTGGGTGAATAAGATTTGACTTGAGTGAATATGTGCTATATGTTAGGGGATCTGTAGTTTTTGTTTTTATATGATGCTTTTCATATTTTTCCAAGGAAGATTTTCTGCAAGTCGATTTCGCGGCCTTGTAACGGCTCGAGAACCCGGACTCCATGTCGATTCGGTCCGTACGATGAATTTGTTCCACAAGATTAGGGAAGTTGTGGCTGCTTTGGAGTGCCCTATGAAATTTACTCTTAAAGATTTGATAAAGCCTGACTTGGACCGAACTAAGTTGTTCCTCAGTGCGATACTCAATTTTTGTCCCCACAAGTTAAAGGGGCATTGATAAACTCTGCTTGCCATAATATCCGAGTCTATAGCTTAATTCTTTTGAAACCAAACTTCGTTACATTTGAATTCAGATAACCATCTCTAATTTGACTTAGAGCGAATATGTGTTGTATGTTTGGGAATTTTGTGACCATGGTTCCATATTGTTCGAATTGATATACAAGAATGGTTGAGTTGGTTATTATTGATATTTGTGTACATTGTTCTTCAAACTCATTCAACTCTGAACCTATTTGACAAAATGCCTGACTGAGCACAAGTTCTTGGTGTGTTAGGATTTGGTTGGAAAATTGCCACAGGTATGTTTTTTCGTTTAAGAAAATGAGTTAGAACTAAGTATAAATCGAATATCTCTTATCATTTGTTGATATGTTCGAATTGATATACAAGAATGGTTGAGTTGGTTATCATTGATATGAGCGAGGTGTTGATTATCACAATACAAGCTGTACTTATTCTTTTGGAAGCTAGTGGAATCTCAAATAGCAAAACTAATTTTTTGACAACATTTGTGAACTTATTTTTATTATGTAGATGGTTGCATTTGTAAGCAGTTTTTTGTTTGAGATATTTATTACATGGGTGGATTGAGTTTATAATTATGTTTTGTTATTGAATTGGATTATAGTAATGGTGATGATTACAAGAAAAATTTTATTGATTTCATTTATTACTTAAAGATTGTATATTTTATTTGGTTCTATTAGTATTTTTTTTCCTAATCTATTTGTATATATATGTGTTGTTGCTTTGGAGAATTTTTTGTTCATTTTTTACAAGTAATATAGTGTCTTCAGGCACGGGTAATTACTAGTATCCATGTATAGAACTAGACATTATTCATGCCTGAAGACACATTACAACAAACAAAAAAATAAAAAATTAAACAATTGTCCAAATTTAAAAAGAATGGCCTAAAAAAATTTATACCAATTCTTTTTTTTTAAATGTCTTGAAATATATTGTTGATAATATTCTCCATATTAATGAAACTGTCATAAAAATATATATATATTTTTTTTTTGGGGGGAGGGGGAAGGGGATGGGAGACTTGATCTCTTGACCTTAAGAAGATAAAATTTTTATGAGATAAGGAGTATCATTAAACCAAAAGCCCATTGCTAACACCATATATTCAAATGCTTTTAAAAAAAATAAATATACGTTAAAATTTACAATCTTTAAGTAATAAATAAAATATTACTCATTTATAAGACTTATGAATTTATCACCCCTACTACCACTCAATCCAATAACATAACATAATTATAAATGCAACTATCATGTTTCTAATCTATCCTATCCTCATACAATAAATACCTCAAGCAAAATAAAAATAAATACTAACAAAAAACAATTAAATTTACAATCTTTAAGCAAAAAAATAAAATCTTCCAAATATTGCTCGTTTATAAAACACATGAATTTATCACCAATATTATCATTCAACCCCAAATGACACAATATAATTATAAATTTAATTACCAAATATTCAATCCTCCACATATATATGCACAGAAACACACCAACACACATTTTGTTTTTGTTACTAACAAATCCTCCTAACCAATTACTGTTTTTATTAAAAATACAATAATTCAAGTTTTTAAGATAAAATAATAACAAATTAATATTTAATTAAAAATAGGGTAAAAATCACGAACATCTCCTGAATTTTGGAAATATTATATGGCCACCACATGAAATTTTATAAATAACACGGAGACCCCCTAAGATTTGAATTCATTACATAGAGACCCCTTTTGTCTCCCTTCCATCAATGTAACTAACGAAAATTGATAATTTCATTCCAAAAAAATGTATTATTTTTACAATTACTCTTCTCTAAATTTAGTACCAAAAAAATTAAAAATTTAATAAAATCAAATAAAATTTGATTCAGTATCCAAAAAATTGATATAATTTAGTACTCCAAAAATTGATTAAATGAATTTCAATATTATTTGATAACAATAAAAATAAATTTGATATTAATTCGACAAATATGAATATAAAATGGACAAAATTAAATGTCAATTTTTTTAAGGTTCATTTCGAGTTGAATATTATTTGGTGTTTATAGTCATTATGCTATTTTTATTTCCATTAAGTGGT